TGTATCTGAACTTTGGATTCATTGTATCTGTTGTTTCGACAGTCAATTGATAGACAGTGTTGTCTGCAAACAAAGTGATGACATCTGATCCCAAATCATAGTATTTGTCCACAAATGCCGAATCAATTGTGATGTTTGGATCACACAATGGATTCTGGGATTAATATTTATTGCATTTTTTAATTTCAATAAAATTATGTACAAAATCACTTACCTTTGCATTCAATATAATTAACAGTTGTATTAAAACCACAATTAATTGCAAAATAAAATACATTTGTGTTAAGATTTTGTGCACAAATATTTAATTCAAATATTTTACATTAATCATTTGGAAGCAACAGATAAATTGCTGATTTTCCTTACATTGCATGGCATACAATGTATTTTTACCCCAAATAAATGAAAAACAAATTACTATTTTGTTAGCAATTATAACATTAACTCAATGGCAACACATTTACACATAATGTACTGTATATTTTTATATGAGTACAACATTATAATTGTAATTCATTGCAAATAAATGATTCAGTAATGCATTGTATATTTAATTGTTTCAAAAATAAATTGCACATGATTATAATTTTGGAAATTACAAAATTTAATCTAATGAAGATACGTTTTGAACAATTTATTTTATTATTAAATTTTCATTAATGTTACTTATTATTCATAATAAATTTAATTGTTTTAATTTCAATCATTATTTTAGTCTTTAATGTATTTTCTGTTGACTTTATCGTCAATTCGTTGTCTTCATTGTCTCTCAAAGAATATTTTGTCTACAATTTGTATAAAATCAATGCTATAATGAATGTTATAATGAATGCCATTATAATCACAATCATAACTATGGCTATAATTATGAATTTATTGTAGTCTTCACATCCAATCCATTGAGCGATGGTTTGAGTGAAACAGTTGTCGTCAAACCTGAGAGTCGTGTTATGCAGACGACAGACACGATTGCCGGCAAACAAATAGAAATAGTCATTCAATGCAAAGCCGGCCGTCGTTTGCGACAAATTAATATTTGTTTTGTCCATGGTTAAGTTGTTTACAACTCGATAGAATTTATAAAATGTGTTGTAACACACAATTGTAACATTTGGTTTGTGAAGCCCATATATTTCTACACCACTTGGTAACTCCGGGTGAGATATTTCAAATATAGATTTATTATAGGCCCCCATAAACCAAGTTGTTACGTTCTTCATCTATAATTAAAATTTGTAATTAATAAATATTCACATTATTTATATCATAATTACGTTATATAAAGCAATTTGTGTGAAGTTCTTGCAATTAAATACGATATTTATTGGACCTCTAATATCAGCCCCATTTGACCACTCGGTTAACGCTTGAAATCTTTTGTACCTAAAGATAGGATTTATGGGATCCCTTGTATTGACAGTCAATTGATAGACAGTGTTGTCCGCAAACAAAGTGATGACATCTAATCCCAAACCAGAGTAGTTGTCCACAAATGCCGAATCAATTGTGATGTTTGGATCACACAATGGATTCTGGGATTAAATATTTATTGTATTTTTAAATTTTAATAAAATAATATTCAAAATCACTTACCTTTGCGTTCAATACAATTAACAGTTGTATTAAAACCACAATTAATTGCAAAATGAAATGCATTTGTGTTTAGATTTTATGTATAAATATTTTCAAAAACTCGTCAGTTATATTATATACAAACTATTGAGACAATAATTTTTTTAAAAAATATTACAATTAAATTAAACTCAATGTTTTGTTCGAGTGGAACAGTTTGGGTGACAATATCCACACTTCACGTGGTCTTCAATGTTGTGATAAATGACACGTTTGTATTGTTTGGGTCTTTGTGTCCAACCGTTTACCGAATTATTAGATAATAGATATCCAAAGAATTAGTTGATTTGTGTCTTGAGATGTAGTTTTGTTTAATATTTTTATCGCATAAACGAAAAACGTATTTAACTATTAATATTATTTTGTTAGCAATACTAACGTTAATTCAATGGTAACACATTTACACCTAATGTATAACTTTTTACATGAGTAAAATATTATAATTATAAGTCATTACAACTAATCCATTCAGTAATTAATTGCTTATTTAATTGATTTCAAAAACAAATTGGGATTGATTATTTAGAAATTTAAATAATTAAATTTAATTTATAAACTTTTTGAAAAATTGTTTAATTATTAATTTTTACATTCATGTTATATATTATTTATATAAATTTAATTGTTTTTATTTTAATCATTATTTAATCCAATGTTTTAATCCGACTAATCTTATGATTCATTGACAAAGCAATCGATGTCTTCGAGTGATTAGTCTTTAATGTATTTTATGTTAATTTTATCGTCGATTCGTTGATCTTTCGACTCATTGACTGATTCTGTGCTAAAGAATTGATTATTTGATTACATATTTCATTGTCTTCTTTGTCTCTCGAAAAATATTTTGTATACAATTTGTATGAAATCAATGCTATTATTACTGCTATTGTAATCACAATCACAACTATAGTTATAATCATGTATTTATTGGTGTCTTCAATTGTGTTATCATTAATTTTTGCCTTAATGTTACCAATTATTTCTAATAAACTTAATGGTTTTAATCATTATTTAATTTAATGTTGAAATTCGTCTAATTTTATGATCCGTTGACAAAGACTTCGAGTAATTAGTCTTTAATGTGTTTTATAGTAATTTAATCGCATATTAGTTGATCTTTCGACTCATTATGTGTTAAAGAATTGATTATTTGATTACATATTTCATTGTCTTCTTTATCTCTTGAATATTTTGTCCACAATTGGTATGCAATGAATGCTATTATAAACGTAATAATTAATGCAATTATTATTATAATTGAATATTTGGTAATTTCATTGTGGTTAGTTTTCGCATCAATTGTGTTGTCCTCACAGCCAATCCATTGAGCAATGGATTGATTCAAACAGTTGTCGTCAAACCTGAGAGTCGTGTTATGCATACGACAGACANCCAATCCATTGAGCAATGGATTGATTCAAACAGTTGTCGTCAAACCTGAGAGTCGTGTTATGCATACGACAGACACGATTGCCGGCAAACAAATAGAAATAGTCATTGAATGCAAAGCCGGCCGTCGTTTGTGACAAATATCTCTCGATCTCATGGATTGGCAACGAATTGATTGTTAAAATAATTTCTTTTGGCAATAATTTATTAAGTTTTATAAAATAATTATTGCAATCAATTGGTTGGTCTAATTTTTCTTTTGTAGTGATTACGATATATCTATTCATAGATTCAAATATGGACTTATTGGTTGCCCACATTTTCCAAATGGTAGTCTTATTTATCTAGAAACAATTCTAAAAAATTAATATATAATAACATTATTTATATAATTATTACATTAATTAATATGATGTCGGGAAATACTTCGTGATAATACACGCAATTTATAGGACCAACAATATTACCCCCATTTGACCACTCGTTTAATGATTGAGATCTGTTGTATTTGAAGACAGGATTCATGGGATCCCTTGCATTGACAGTCAATTGATAGACAGTGTTGTCTGCAAACAAAGTGATGACATCTGATCCCAAATCACAGTATTTGTCCACAAATGCCGAATCAATTGTGATGTTTGTGTTATTACATAACGGATTCTGGGATTAAATAAGTAATTAAACTAATTATTAAATTAAATTTGAAAGTATCGTAACTGACCGTTGCATTCAATACAATCAATAGTTGTATTGAAACCACAATTAATCTCAAAATTAAATACATTGTTCAATTTATATTCATTGAATGTAAAAATGATAGTAACATAAAAATCTGTTAATTAGAGAAAATAATATTAATTATAAATTATAAGACAATATTTAAATTAGTGAACCGTTTGATAGCAATGTTGGAACACGTGTTCATCAATTTTTCAATAAATTATACAATTATATTAATTGTCTGTCTCTGGATGTGATGTCTTCGTTGCCAATGATTTGCCGGCATTTGTGACAACAATTGGCCGTCGGATCAGTTGAAACGTGTTTTACGATTGTTTTGTGTTCAATATTTGTTGAAAAAAATTATTTAAAATCAATTATTTTATTTGAAATATTAATAATAATTAAATGGCAACACATTTACACATAATGTATACTGTATTTTTAATATGAGTAATACATTATAATTATAAGTCATTTCAAATAAACAATTCAGTAATTAATTGCTTAATAAGCAATGCTTATTTAATTGATTTAAAAAACAAATTGAAAATGATTATTATTAAGGAATTGACAAAGTTTAATTTAAACTAGTTAATTTTTTAACAATTGTGTTATCATTAATTTTTGCCTTAATGTTACCAATGATTTCTAATAAACTTAATGGTTTTAATCATTATTTAATTTAATGTTGAAATTTGTCTAATTTTATGATCCGTTGACAAAGACATTGATGTCTTCGAGTAATTAGTCTTTAATGTGTTTTATAGTAATTTAATCGCATATTAGTTGATCTTTCGACTCATTATTTGTTAAAGAATTGATTATTTGATTACATATTTCATTGTCTTTTTTATCTCTTGAATATTTTGTCCACAATTGGTATGAAATCAATGCTATTATAAACGTAATAATTAATGCAATTATTATTATAATTGAGTATTTGGTAATTTCATTGTCGTTAGCTTTCGGATCAATTGTGTTGACTTCACAACCAATCCATTGAGAAATCGATTGAGTGAAACAATTGTCGTCAAACTTAAGAGTCCTGTAATTCACACGACAGACAAGATCTGTTGCAAACAAATAGAAATAGTCATTGAATGTAAAGCCGGCCGTATTTTGCGACAAATATCTCTCGATCTCATGGATTGGCAGCGAATTGATTGTTGAAATAATTTCTTTTGGCAATAATTTATTAAATTTTATGAAAGTGATTTCGCATTTAAATAATTGCTCTGCTTTTTCTATTGTTATGAAAGATGAATTCTTAGATTCTAATATCACCACTTTGTTTATCCATAAATTCCAAATTGTAGCCTTATTTATCTAGAAACAAATATTATTGTATATTAACATTATTTATATAATTATTACATTAATTAATATGATTCCGGGAAATTCTTTGTACACGCAATTTATGGGACCAACAATATTACCCCCATTTGACCACTCGGTTAATGTTTGGGATCTCTTGTATTTGAAGATAGAATTTATGGGATCCGTTGTATTGACAGTCAATTGATAGACAGTGTTGTCTGCAAACAAAGTGATGACATCTGATCCCAAATCACTGTATTTGTCCACAAATGCCGAATCAATTGTAATGTTCGGATAACACAATGGATTCTGGGATTAAATAGTTAATTAACATATTTATTAAACTAAATTATATACAAAATCACTTACATTTGCATTCAATACGATTAACAGTTGTATTAAAACCACAAATAATTGCAAAACGAAATGCATTTGTAATGTGATTTTGAGCCCAAATATTTCAAAAATGTCTTCAGTTTTGCGACAATTGTTTAAAACAATAATAAAATTAACTTAAACTCAAATGTGGTCTTTTAGTGAAACAGATTGGGTGATACTCTTCGGCTTCAAGTAGTCTTCAAATGTCTGATAAATGACACGTTTGTATTGTCTCAGTCTTGTTTGTGATATATTTGTGTCCAAATATTTACTCAATTTTGATACAATGAATAACCGACTGATTTGTGTAACTGTAACTTAAAAAATCTTTGTGTTCAATATTTTCACAAATAAATGAAATACAAATTAAATGATTATTTTGTTAGCAATACTAATATTGATTTAATGGCAACACATTTACACATAATGTATACTTTTTATATGAGTAAAACATTATAATTATAGTCATTTCAAATAAATGATTCAGTAATTAATTTCTTATTTAATTTATTTCAAATACAAATTGCAAATGATTTAGAAATTTACAACATTTATCTTAAATTGGATACTTTTTGAACAATTGTGTTATTATTAATTTTTACATTAATGTTATCAATTATTTATAATAAACTTCTATGTTTAATTTTAATTATTATTTAATCCAATGTTGAAATCCGTCTAATTTTATTATCCGTTGACAAAGACATTGATGTTTTCAAGTGATTAGTCTTTAATGTATTTTATGGTAATTTTATTGTCGATTCGTTGATTTTTTGACTCATTGACTGATTCTGTGCTAAAGAATTGATTATTTGATTACATATTTCATTGTCTTCTTTGTCTCTCGAAGAATATTTTGTCCGCAATTTGTATGAAATCAATGCTATTATTACTGCTGTTATAATCACAACCACAACTATGGCTATAATCATGTATTTATTGTTGTCTTCGCATCCAATCCATTGAGCGATGGTTTGATTCAAACAGTTGTCGTCAAACCTGAGAGTCGTGTTATGCATACGACAGACACGATTGCCGGCAAACAAATAGAAAGAGTCATTGAATGCAAAGCCGGTAAGCGTTTTATTCCAATTGACATCGATATGAGACGGATTGCTTACTTAACACATATAATCAAATATTTGTAAAGTATGTAAAGCTTTATATAATATAACAATATTTATAATGAAATTTACATAAATAGCTTTTACAAACACATGTTTTGTCACCAAATGCACCATGGATCGATTTATTGTTTGCCCATATACACCAAAATTTGTCTCCATTTTCCTATAAATAAATACATATGTGCCGCCAGCGCCTCCTGGAGCACAAGGATTGCTCTCTCGACTCAATCTCTCATCATTTTGGAAAAGCAAGTCCTCATCAAAGCAATAATTCTGTACTAATGTATCGTTTCTTATCATAAGTTTTATTGTATCAAAACTTGTATTATCTTATCTGTAGTTTTATCTGAAGGCCACCAAAACTGTATAAAAGGGTGCCTTCAGTTGATGTAGTTTTAGAGTTGATTTGGCTTTAAGCTAATAAACATTAGATTTGTTTTAAGTGTTTGTCACACTTGTTCGACTCTGCCTCACACGCCGGTGACTGTGACCGAAGGGCGCCCTTCCCTCACATCCAGAGGACAACTGTAACAGTTGGTCACCAATTGGCCGGCGATCGCAACGTTGGCCGCAGGCGTAGTGTAGGCGTGACGAGAGCATCGTCACCGCAGTTGAGAGTGTTAGCGCGGACGGAGTGCTAACCATCGACTGACCGGAGAGGATCCGAAGGACGGGAGCACCGTCGCCGACAACATAAACGGGTGAGAGTTTCACTCAACGAGAGGTAAAGTTATAGCTCCGACACTCGGAGCTGTCACTTGCGAGTAAGCGAACAAAGAGAATAGGAAACCGTTGCGAGCGTTAACAGCCGTCACCCAACGAGACGCGCGTGACCGCTGCCCTCAAGAGACCCACGGGCCAGGTCTCGTACACATATAAATGTTAATTATTTATACAAATCATATTATAATTACATTAAATAACCAAATTTTATGATAGTTCTCACAAAAATAAATACGACGAACAGGACCAATAATATTACCCCCATTTGACCACTCATTTACTGTTTGGGATTTATTATATCTGAAGACAGGATTTATGGGATCC